CAACTCAAAAGGAACAGAGCCAGGCAGTTTGTTTCTGCAGAAGGGCACACCATCAGCCAGAAATCTGGCAAGCAGGCACACAGAGCTGGCACATTGCTCCCCTTTTGTCCCCAGTGCAGCAGGCCCCACCCCGCTGTGATTGGTTAGTTTGAAGAGGTTAGGCTGTATCCAGTGTACAGTTTTACACAGCTAGTTACAAAGCGACCATTAGAAGACTTTGAGATAAGATTTAAGGTACACAAGCAATCTCAAAACAGCTCTGCTACTTGAGCAATCTAAGGTGTGTCTTAATCCCTCTTCAAAACATACTCACACCCTCAACTACTTTCTTGAACAGTGAGGTGTGTCTTAATTCTGCTTCCAATTTGGAACAGCCAGTTAAGACAACACCTTACATTTCAAAAATCCTTCCTTATCCCAAAGCATTTCCTTGCTAATATTGTCTTAGCAGAATATAGCTAGAGCAGAGCTACAGGGGCAGAGCTGGAACTTTTAAGCTGACCACTTTGATAGACGAGGCCAGATAGGTGGTCTCAGAGATAGGGGAGCTGAGTTGGCCTGCCATGGTGCTGCGGGCAGTCCTCAGCAGTGAGTTCAAGACACTTACAGCCTGTGAGTTTGCTGCCTCTTAGGAGACTAGAAGACAATAGTGTTTTACAGCCTGTGAGTTTGCTGCCTCTTAGAGACTAGAAGGCAATAGTATCTTACAGCCTGTGAGTTTGCTGCCTCTTAGGAGACTAGAAGGCAATAGTATCTTATAGTCTGTCCTCCGAGGCTAATTCTCAATCCCAAAGCCTTCCTGGCAACTTAGAAAAACATCTGTCCACCCAGGAGATGAGATACACCCCTGGCGGGGAAATAGTTAATTTAATTAGGCTACTCTGCTTGCTTGTCCCTCAGGGAGGACTAGCATTAGCAAGCCTTATTTGTGCCTGCGTTCCGACATAGTGACTATAATCTCTTAGTTTGTATCTTCTTGTTCTGCCCCTTCTTGGCCCTTCTTTTACAAAGTAGTTGTAGCCTCTTATTCCTCCAAAAGACAAAGCTTTTGAGTCTAGAGTATAAATGGCTGAGAGCAAGTCTGAGAACTCTGTTATCTCAGGAATGGTTGGGGACTTGTCTAGGTAAGGAAGTAGAGAGGAGACTTGTTTCTTTTCTTTTTTCCTTTTTCTTATTGTCAGTCCTGGGGCTTGAACTCAGGGCCTGGGCATGGTCCCTGAGATTCTTTTGCTCAAGGGCTAGCACTCTACCATTTGAGCTATAACCACTTCCAACTTTTCCTGTTTATGTGGTACCAAGGAATCAAACCCTGGGCTTCATGGATTGCTAGGTAAGCACTCTACCACTAAGCCACATTCCCAGCCCCAGACCAGGATTTGAACCAGTGTTTGATTTCACAGCTCAGGGTGCTGTCTCTGAGGTTTTGTGCTCAAGGCTAGCTCTCTGCCACTTGAACCACTTCCAGCTTTTTGTGTTCATTGGAGATAAGAATCTCACAGACTTTCCTGCCTGGGCTGGCTTTGATTCTCAGAACTCATCATCTTGAGTAGCTAGAATTACAGGTGTGAGCCATAGTACCCCACCTCAACTTTCTTTCTCTTTCTTTCTTTCTTTCTTTCTTTCTTTCTTTCTTTCTTTCTTTCTTTCTTTCTTTCTTTCTTTCTTTCTTTCTTTCTTTCTTTCTTTCTTTCTTTCTTTCTTTCTTTCATCGGTCATGGGGCTTGAACTCTGGGCTTGGGCGCTGTCCCTCAGCTCTTCAGCTCAAGGCGAGCGTTCTACCGCTTGAGCCACAGTGCCACTTTAGGTTTTCTAGTGGTTTATTGTAGATAAGAGTCTCACAGACTTTCCTGCCCAGGCCGGCTTTGAACTGCGATCCTCAGATCACAGACAGGCGTGAGCCACCGGTGCCCGGCCTTTTTAGAGAGTGAAGTTTGGGTCCTGGGAAAATCGAAAGAACAGGTTGTAGACAGAGCCCCCTGCTGGCCAGTGGGCACTGTGGCGCCCAGCATGCTGGAAAGTGAGCTGTTGGGTTGTCGGGGGAGGGGACTCTTCCCAGCTGTGATTTCACCAACATTACTCATCTGTTTTTGATTCTTATCTCTGCAGTGACGGGCTTTTGGCCAACAGGCAGATCAAAAGGTGGAGTGTGTTCATTTGGCCATTTTCAAAAAAAGCTTAAATATAAGGGTGCACTTCTTCAAGGCACTGTGGTTAGATTATCTGCGGTGCTGAACGGGTCTGGCTTTTGTGCTTTTTCTAAAGGGTTCATCTCAAGTTTCTTTTTCTGGTTGAACAATTTTTTTCAACATTAATAACTAATGGAGAAGAGGAAGAGGCAAAGTAGAACCATATGGCGGCACGAACACAAACCTCACTGTGGCCGGAAACTTCTGATTTGTATCTCCTTTCATGTGATCAGCTGTGGGGTTAGATAGTAGGGAAGGATTTGCTGTGGGCAAAAGCAAGACCTCGCAATACTTTCTGTCTCTTGTGCCCTTCCTCAGATGCTGGCTGGGAACTGCGTGGCTTTGGGCAACTCATTGCTTCTCTCCTCCAAAACAACTCTGTGTGTCGAGCTGCCTCAGCATCAGAGGTGAAGTAGGCAGTCGTGAGAGGTGCTTGGCCCTCGTCCATGGTTACTGCTGCTCTGAGATGGAGCCTCCCTGTGTCACGTAGGCTGGTCTTGGGCTTAAGTGATCCTCCTCCCTCAGCCCTTTATGTAGCAGGGATTGTTAGGACAGTGCCACTGCTGCCCAGCTAACGCAGTGTCACTTTGTTTCTCTAGTTCTAGGGATTGAATCCATGCCAGGCAAGTGGCGGAACTACCACTGAAACCATGCCCCTCATCCTTTTAAAAATTTTGTTTTTGAGATAGGGTCTCACTAGCCTTCCCTTGGCTAGCCTTGAACTTGTCCATCCTCCTGCTTCTGCTTCCAGAGTAGCTGGGATTATAGGTGGGCACTTCATACCTGCAGTGTGCTTGGCCTGGTGCCTCCCACATGCTAGATCAGCACTCTGTGCTAGCTACATCCCCAGTCCCCTCATTTTTTTTTTTTTTTTTTACTTTTTCTTTGGGTCCAGTCGTGGGGCCTGAACTCTGGGCCTGGGCGCTGTCCCTCAGCTCTTCAGCTCAAGGCTAGCACTCTACCACTTGAGCCACAGTGCCACTTCTGGCTTTTTTTTTTCTTTTTGCTTATGTGGTGCTGAGGAATCGAACCCAGGGCCTCAGGCATGCAAGGCAAGCATTCTACCACTGAGCCACCTTCCCAGCCCAGGCCCATCATTGTTAGAAGGGCATTGCTGGTGACTTTCTAGTCCTTGACCTTCTTCCTCTGGTTTGTGCGTCTCCTGGTCTTAATGTATTTTACTCCCCTTCCACCTATCTGTCCAATGGCCCCCTGGGCACCTGTAAGCCAGCTTGAAGGTGTCAGAGGGAAGACCACAGCAATTCCTACTCTCTAGAAGGTGAGCCATGCTCCTTGGTGACAGAGAAGTCAGTGTAGCCCTGAACCTCCCAGAGGCACTGTCCTGGCCAGCCACTGTCCTGTTAGTTATTCTAAGTCACTAGGATTTAAGTTTGACCCTGCCCCCACCCAGCAGCCTGGATCAGCCTTTGGTAGCTTCTGCTGCTCCTCGCCTGAACAGCCTTAGGGGCCACACTGCCTGTAACCCAGGGTAGGCTCGGCTTTGTTTGGCACTATCCTTGTAGTTAAATCACTGTGCAAGCTCATCGTCTACGAGACTTACTGTGAATTCCTCTGTTGGTTTTATTTTGTTTTGCAATACTAGGCTTTGAACTCAGGACTCGTTAGGCAGGCACTCTACCACCTTCTGTTCTTTTTTTTTTTTGCTTCTGTTGAATCTAATAGTGTCTTGTATCTTTCTCCTGGGCTGGCCTAGAATGTGGTCCTCCTAGTTACACTTCCTACATAGCTGGGAATCATAGGCATGCTTTATTGGTTGAGATAGGGTCTTGAAAACTTTTTGCATAGGCTGACCTCAAATTACTGTCCTCTGATGTCCACCTCCTTTGTAGCAAGTATTAGAAGGATGAGCCACCTGGCCTTCTTCCATTGTTCTCACAGTGATGTGGCCAGAGCACAGGGTGAACTAGAAAAGAGCCAAGTCATTGTCATCTTTGCCATGCAATTTACTTTTCCCACTGGGAAGGATACTTGCAGTCGGCAGCCCCTTGCCAGGCAAATGAGATGTTGAGACCCCCACAAACCAGGCCACAGGCAAGAAAGAGCCAGCACATGCATAGACTTGGAAATGACTGAAGCCCAAAGGAATCTGTTGTTGAGAGGACTGCTGTCCCTTTCTGGAATCTTCTGGTGGAAATGTGATGTTTTGAGTTTGGAGCAGGATGCTTCAGCCTGCTCATTTGGGGACCGTGGTTGGAACTGGCAGTGTATGGTGTGGGGTTCAGCCTGCCCTCACTCCCCAGCAGGACTGCAGAGGTGAGCCAGCCCAGGTCTGCTGTGGAGAGCTGGTGAGCAGCTACCTTTGCAGCTGCTGTGGCTGACTCTACAAGCCAGCCTGGTCATGCTTGGCCAGAGGCCTGGAAAGTGCTGGAAACTCCACCCAGCATGGGAGCCTGTGGGAGTTCTCTTGCATGGATGGCTTATTCTTTCGAGTTCTTTGAATTCCTATGTATTTGAAATGTTTGCCTTCTTTTCGGGACTTGAGCTTGTCCTCTGCCCACTGGAGACCAATCGCAGGCACATATATATTCAGGTTTATGAGACCACCCTGGCGGCCAGGTGAGAGCTGCACTGGAGATCACGCTCTGCCGTAACCCAAGACCAGGTTTCTTTATAGGGCGACACACAGGGTGTTGGGCACATGTGGTGGGGGAGGGGGAAGAGGAACAAGCCCATAATTTTGGCAGGGCACCAAGGGCCAGATGTTAGATATACTGCCCGCCGTTCAGATGACTGAGCCTGAATCTGAGGTGCTATTTTAACCACATTTCTACCTGCTCTTTTTTTTCCTGGCAGGTCCCCAGTCTGTGTGAAGATCTCCTGTCTTCTGTTGACCAGCCACTGAAAATTGCCAGAGACAAGGTGGTGGGCAAGGATTACCTGTTGTGTGACTACAACAGAGATGGGGACTCGTATAGGTGAGCTCATGCCCAGGAGGCCCCTGCCAGCCATTCCCGCTGGCCACAGCAGCACAGAGACCAACCCACGTTCTACTCACCCATCTTTCTGTTTGTCCTTCCATCCTCCCCCTCCTCTTCCTCCTCTTCTGCTAGTCATCCAGCTGGCCTGCAGGTGTTTGGGGAGTGCTTCTCTTAGCACTGGTGATGGAGTCCTCGTGGATCTTAAGTCTAACGGAGAGGGAGGGAAGCTGGTAGCAGATGGGCTGCTCCTTTGCCACATGTATGGTCCTGCAAAGGGCAAAGCACAGCCTGTGCCTGTGGAGGAGATTCTGCATCCACCCAGTTCTGTCAGCCTCTGTGCACCTCTCCCATCTTGCCGTCGCCAAGTGGAGCACTAGTTGACATTAGTCTTCACCTGGGTGATGACCTAGCTATGAGATCCATGCTCCGCTGGCTCAGGGCTTGCAGGTAGAGTAGCACAGTGGTGGTCAGTGGTGTCAGGGTAATTCCTGAAAGTGATACCTGAGCTAGGAAGTTTGCTGGTCAGTAACATATTGCTGACAGCAGCCAATCATTCAGCAGAATGCCCAGTAGCATCTTGTAAACTGGGCACTGTTCAGATTCCTTTTCTAATGTTAGTCTGTAGTTTGATGCCGGGGGAGCAAGCCACCGGTAAGCACTTCCATAAATAAAATAGATTGATTGTGAAAGAAGCTGAGGGTAGGCAGCGAGAGACAGTATAAGTAGACCCAGAAGGCTCTCCTACAAGTGTCCTTAAGAATGCAAAAGTTGGGCTGGGAAGGTGGCTCAGTGGTAGAGTGCTTGCCTTGCATGCCTGAGGCCCTGGGTTCGATTCCTCAGCACCGCATAAACAGAAAAAAAAGCCGGAAGTGGCACTGCGGCTCAAGTGGTAGAGTGCTAGCCTTGAGCTGAAGAGCTGAGGGATAACGCCCAAGCCCAGAGTTCAGGCCCTACGACCGGACCCAAAAAAAAAAAAGAATGTAAAAGTTATGTTAGAGGGAAGAGTTTTCTGGGCTTCAATTAAGGCCCTAAAGTGGAAATGAGCTTGCTGGTGTTCAACTATATTAAAGAGGATGAAGTCAGAAGCCTGGTAGGGAAAGCACATACAGCCTTGAATTCCAGGTGAAGGTTTACTGGAGTAAACTAAAGACATGACACATGGGGTGAACTGGAACTGGACAGCACAGCACGGGCCTCAACACATATTTAAAAGGTCTGTGATTCTGTGTGTGCATGTGTGCGCACACTTGCTCTACTACTGGAGCTTAAACTTAGGACCTGGGTGCTACTCTTTAGCTGTTTTGCTCAAGGCGGGTGCTCTACTTTTGGCTAACTGGAGATGAGTTTTATAGCCTGGTCTGGCTTTGGGCTGGGATCCTCAGATCTCAGCATCCTGAGTAGCTAGGATTATAGGCATGAGCCAACAGTGCCTAGCTTAGTGACTTCTTTTCTTTTGTTGTTGGTGGTGGTGGGCGTGGGACTTGAACTCAGGGCCTGGGCGCTGTTCTGAGCCTCTTTGTGCTCAAGGCTAGCCGTGTACCCCTTGAGCTCCAACACCACTTCCAGTTAACTGGAGGCGAGAGTCTCATGGACTGGCTTTGAACCACCATCCTCAGCTCTCAGCCTCCTGAGTAGCTAGTATTGTAAGCATGAACCACCAGTGCCTGGCAAATAGTGATTTTTCTTTTTTTGAGAGATGACAACATTGTTGTTTTAGAATGGTGTTTTTTCCTACTGTCAGTAGAAGTTAGGTAGGCAATCATAGAGCAGAGACTAGAGTAGAAATAGGGTGCGTGCCAGCAGATGTGCCAGGGGTGGGGTGTGTGTGAGACAGATGTGATTGGTGATACAGGACTTTGGGACATTGATGGAGGGGAGAACTCAGGGAGCTGCTGGTTTAGGGAATCCTTAAGCTTAAAATGTCCTTTAGATCTAAGCAGAGGTGCCATCTGGTGATGCTACTTGGCAGGTCAAGTTGCCAGTGGGTGTGGTCCTTGGGAGCCTCAGGAAGTGAGTACCTCAGCTGTCCTTGGCGGGGAATGGCCTCGCCAGACCTGGGGCCTGCAGAAAGTTTCCTGGGAGAGTCAGTCAGCATCAGTCAGTCAGCATTATCCTCCCCTCCCCTCTGAAAACTCCATTTAATCTAGCCATTCCACAGGAGCCTGTGGAAGAGTGGGGTTGTGCCCATGTCTGTATCCAGGCCTGTCTCCCTTGGGCCTCCAGCCAGGGTGCCTGCACTCCTGAGGTGCCGGGGCCTCAGGGTCCTCTGGGAGCTTTGAAGAGAGGCGCATGAGCGTCAAGCAGAAAGCTTGTCTCTCCTCTCCCCTTGTGGATCTGAGACTTCAAGGTCTTCTGAGTTTTCTCCACACATTTCCATCCTCTGTTTGATCGTTGGCTTAAATAAGATCCTTATGGTGTGATGGTTGCCAGCAGCACGGCTTGAGACCTGTTAGCTGAAACAAAAGGCCTTCTGGGGAAATGAAAGCCTGACTTTTGAAATCTAAACGTTCCTGTCCATCTGTCTTTTCTCAAATGGCCTCCATTTAAGCTCTTAAATGTGTTCTGAGTGCCCCTTCCACTAGGAATATTCTGGGTAATGTTATGATTTTTCCCCCAGCTACAATTACCCTGGCTCCAGGACTAGTGGCTTGAAATGCTGTCTGTCGCCTGTGAGCCAGGAGAAATGTGAGTTACAGGCTTCTTGGAAATTCCAGGCCTGCAAGAGGAGTCTCAGCAGGTGGCCTTTAAATAAGAGCCAGTTGGAGTGGGTCTTCCACCCAGGCCATGGAACTGTGGGACCCAGTGTGCCCAGGAATCTCAAAGAAAGCAGCTGTTGTGAGGCAGGAGTTTAAGCGGTACACTGTGTCTGCACCTTGGCCCCTATTTACTTGGGAATAGTGCCGACAGGTCTGCGCTCTTCAGCTGCACCCTGCATCCTTGTCAGGTCTGGTGACAGGTCTTGGCCCTAGGTAGGGCTTGAACTCGGGGCCTGGGCACTGTCCCTGAGCTTCTTTTGCTCAGGGATAGTGCTCTACCACTTGAGCCACAGTGTCACTTCCAGCTTTTTCTGAGTGGTTTATTGGAGATGAGTCTTATGGACTTTCCTGCCCAGACTGGCTTTCAGCTGCCATCCTCAGATCTCAGCCTCCTGAGTAGCTACAATTACAGGCCTGAGCCACCAGCATCTATTTGGCTTGATTTTTATTTTTGTTTGTATTTTTGTTTTTTTTTTTTGGTCCGGTTGTAGGGTCTGAACTCTGGGCCTGCGCACTGTCCCTCAGCTCTTCGGCTCAAGGCTAGCGCTCTACCACTTGAGCCACAGCGCCACTTCTGGCTTTTTTCTTTTTGTTTATGTGGTGCAGAGGAATCAAACCCAGGGCCTCAGGCATGCAAGGCAAGCGCTCTACCACTGAGCCACCTTTCCAGCCCCCTGATTTTTATTTTTTTAAACTGTATCTCACTGTGTTGCCCAAGCTGGTTTCCAACTCTTGAGCTCAGGCAATCCTGCTACCCCTGGCTCAATTTTGACTCTTTTTTTTTAGTGCTGTGTGTCCCTAAGCAGAAGAAATAGAATGGAATTCCATGTCTGTTAGTGTAGCGCACTCTGTAGAACCCCGTAGGCACCCTGTAGTGGGTGTCATAAAGGCAGACAGCAGTCCTCCCCTCACAGGCTTGGCAGGGTGGCATGTGAGGCGTGAATTCCACAGAGGGAGGAGGCAGCACTGGCCACTGCTGCTTTTGTGGGGGAGGTGCACGGATTTCCGCTTTCTAGCCCTTCTTCGCTTAGTGCGCCTGGGTGGGGTCTCGTGTGAGAGATCAGCACTGACTGCCAAGACACCAGCGGACAGCTTGGCTGGCCTTGGCTCTTTAGATCGCAGTAGCCACGTTTCTTGTACTTGGAGCCCACCTTTTTGCCAGATACAGAAGATTTCCATCCTCCTAGAAGTGTCTGGCTGGCTGCCTTTCCAGAGGATGGACACAGGAGCTTCCAGATGACAGGCACTGGTCCGCCCCCTGCTTGGGCACAGCGCTGCCGCCCGCATCCACGCTCAGGTGCCCCAGTACAGTCTGTATTTCCCAGTGGGGCCGGGCCACTTGGCGACTTCCTTCTTATGCCTTCTTTATCCGCTCCAAGTCAGGAGGGAGAGTGCCCTCTTGGTCACTTCAGGACTGACCCCAGAACTGGCAGCTTTTGGTTTCTCACTGGTTGCCAGGCCCGTGGCGTAGTTGGTGGCCATCCGCCCTGTCTTGGTTTCTCACATGCTGTGGGCAGCAAGTAGTGCTTCATTTTCTGCACAAGGAAGTGAGGTTCAGCGCTAAGGTACTGTCTATATCACATAGCTGGTGAGCAGGGCGGGAGCTGGAAAGTGGCTGTAAGTAGTGACTTTGCCCCTGAAACCCCACACAACTGGAGCCTAGATTCACCACTCACAAGCAGTATCCTCCTGGTGATTCATGGGCTTCCTCCCTGCAGGTCACCGTGGAGTAACAAGTATGACCCTCCTCTGGAAGATGGAGCGATGCCATCTGCTCGGCTGAGAAAACTGGAGGTGGAAGCCAACAATGCCTTTGACCAGTACCGAGACCTGTGAGTTGCTTGCCCAGTGCACCTCAGCGCCTGTGGGTTTGTGTCCTTTGACTCTGGGGCTGCTCCATGATGGAATCTGAGCTGCCAGTGACAAGATGTGGGCCACTAGTTCCTTGATTGGTTAGTGACAGACCGTGTAGTCACAAGACAGATGTCACTGTGTCCCAGTCCATAAACGTAGAAGGTACTGTCAGCATAGCCGCTGTGAGGAAGATTGTCTCACTTCCTCCCAAATGCAGTAGCTACTCTAGTCCCTGTTTTCCAGGAGGAGACCTTGAGGCACAGAAAGGTTAAGACAAGAGGCAGAACCAGGACTTGAATGCCCATCTGTCTCTCCTGGATCTCTGGGGTTTTACTGCGCCTCATAGCCAACTTTGACTGGTGCTCAGGTCCGTATAGGTGGCTTGGTTGCCAGGTCAGGCCAAGTTGGTCTTCGCAGTGTGATAAGGCAGCCTTCTCCAAACTAGCACCTCTGAATCCTGAATTGGCTGGGGCAAGGTACCAGCTCCTGCCATAAGAAAGTGTTTGAAAGTGGCGCTGTGGCTCAAGTGGTAGAGCGCTAGCCTTGAGCTGAAGAGCTGAGGGACAGCGCCCAGGCCTAGAGTTCAAGCCCCACGACCGACCAAAAAAAAAAAACTCCTCAAGTTTCAGGGCTGGGAAGGTGGCTCAGTGGTAGAACGCTTGCCTTGCATGCCTGAGGCCCTGGGTTTGATTCCTCAGCACCACATAAGCAAAAAGAAAAAAGCCGGAAGTGGTGCTGTGGCTCAAGTGGTAGAATGCTAGCCTTGAGCTGAAGAGCTGAGGGACAGCACCCAGGCCCAGAGTTCAGGCCCCACAACCTACAAAAAAAAACCCAAGAAAGTGTTTGAAAGTCTGTTAAATGCTTTTCTGCCTCCTATCACTATATCAGGAGAACGAGCAGTCACCTAACAAATCATTGTCTTGAGGAAAGGCTCCAGAGATATCCTCTAAAACATTTTCTTTTCTTTTCTTTTTTTTTTTTTTTTTTTTGTTGGTTGTGGGGCTTGAACTCTGGGCTTGGGCACTGTCTCTGTACTCTTCTGCTCAAGGTGAGCGCTCTACCTCATGAGCCACAGTGCCATTTCCAGTTTACTAGTGGTGTTTTTTTTTTTGGTGGGGGGGGGGGGGGTCCGGTCATGGGGCCTGAACTCTGGGCCTGGGCGCTGTCCCTTAGCAGCTCAAGGCTAGCGCTCTACCACTTGAGCCACAGGGCCACATCCGGCTTTTTTCTTTTTGCTTATGTGGTGCTGAGGAATCGAACCCAGGGCCTCACGCATGCAAGGCAAGCGCTCTACCACTGAGCCACCTTCCCAGCCCTGTTTTTTTTTTTTTTAAATTGGAGATCAGAGGCTCACAGCCTTTCCTGCATGAGCTGGCTTTGAACCATTATCCTCAGATCTCAGCCTTCTGAGTAGCTAGGATTACAGGCGTGAGCCACCGGCACCCGGCCTCTGAAACATTTTCTTAACAGAATTTCACCTTAAATTAAGTTCTATACTGAAAATGTAGCAAATTTAAACTATGTGTTGCTAATGTTAGTCATCCAGGAACCAAGGGCTCACACCTGTAATCCTAACTACTTAGAAGGCTGAGATCTGAGGATTGTGGTTCTAAGCCAGTCCAGGTAGGAAAGTCCAAGAAATTCTTATCTCCAATTAAACACTTAAAAAAGACAGAAGTGAAGCTGTGGCTCAAGTGGTAGAACACTGGCTTTGAACAAAAGAAAAGCTCAGGGACAGCACCCAGGCACCAAAAAAAAAAAAAAGTTAAATTCAAGGGCCAAGTGTTGTAGTGTTCATGCCTGTAATCCAGGCTACTTAAGAGGTGGAGGTTAGAGGATTGTAGTCCAAGGGCCACCTGGGTAAAAGCAGGAGACTCTTATCTTTTCAGCTCACTGAGCCTTGAGGTAGATGGGATTTGGTCAATTGTAGTTTGTCTACCCCTAGTCTAGGATATAGGCAGAAAAAAGGAAATCCTAGAAATAGCAACTGAACTTAACTGATGGTCAGAAAAGAGGTTTCAGTCTCCACTAGGTAGAACATGGACTGGTCTTCTGGCTAGCTCACAGAAGTTTGCCTCGACTTAAAAATGTCTTTGGGGCTGGGAATGTGGCCTAGTGGCAGAGTGCTTGCCTAGCATTCATGAAACCCTGGGTTCAATTCCTCAGTACCACATAAACAAAAAGACAGATGTGGTACTGTGGCTCAAGTAATAAAGTGCTAGCCTTGAGCAAAAGCAGCTCAGAGGCAGTGCACAGGCCCTGAGTTCAAGCCCTAGGACTGGCCAAAAAAAAAGTCTTGGGAAGCTGGGCACCAGTGGCTCATGCCTGTAATCCTAGCTAAGATCTGAAGATTGTGTTTCAAAATCAGCCCAGGCAGAAAAGTCCATGAGACTCTTCTCCAATTAACCACAAGAAAACTGGAAGTGGTGCTGTGGCTCAAATGGTAGAGCGCTAGCCTTGCACTGAAGAGCTGAGGGACAGCGGCCGGGCCCAGCAAGACCCATAACTGACCAAAAAAAAAAAAAAAAGTGGAGAGACAGCTTGTCCCTTACAGATGACACAGGCATCATGACTGCGGTGACTCACAGAGACCACAAGCATGGGCAGAGACCCAGGATTACGGTCTGTAAGCATTCTCTTTCTTGAACTTTGTCTCGTAGCTCTGTCCACATTCGTGCAAAAAGTAGTTCTTCACTGTAACCACTGTTTATTAGTACAAATGCAATTACAGTGGGCTGGGAATGTGGCTTAGTGGTAGAGTGCTTGCCTAGTATGCATGAAGCCCTGGGTTCCTTAGTACCACATAAACAGAAAAAGTTGGAAGTGGCCCTGTAGCTCAAGTGGTAGAGTGCTAGTCTTGAGCTAAAGAAGATCAGGGACAATGCCCAGGCCCTGAGTTCAAGTCCCAGGACTGGCATGCGCGCGTGCATACACACACACACACACACACACACACCAGCTAGTCAAGAAAAACGCACACAGACACAGACACACACACATACACCAGCTATTCAAGAAAAATGCCCAAGTAGAATTAGTTTCATATTGAAGTAATAATGATGAGAGTAAAATAACAGCAATAATAATAATTACTAGCAAACGTATTATAAATCTACTGTCTTTTCAATCTCATTCAGTCTACCATGGTCCTGTGAGAGGGCCAGCTCTCTGCATGAGTGAGTGGACTGATGAGAAAGGTCAAGTTTGCAAGGCAGGATGTGGTGGAACTAGGTTGTAAAACCACCCTTCCCCCACTCTAGGGTCCAGAACACACGAGCTGGCATTTGTGGGGTACTGTGAGCCATATGCTCACTGTGGGCATCCTACAAGACACAGCCTCATTCACAACCAGCAGACCACCTTCGGGGCAAGATCCAACCACATTCAGTCAAGGGGGTGAGTCAGGCTGGCGGGTGTCGGGATGTACCACCCTTGGTATGCTGGGATGGCTGTTCAGAGGTGGCCAGTGCTGCAGGCTGGCTCCCGGGATGTGTGTCCATGCTCTGTGGACTGAGAGGTGTCACACTTCATGAAGTTGGGGGATCTGGACACAACCTGGCTTATTTGCCCCCTTTGTAGCTTTGGGTGTTCGTTCCTCATGTGCCACCCCAGCCTGCCCTAAGAAGATGCTTGCCTTCCGTCCAGATAAGTGGGGAGTGGGAAGGAAAGTCCCCTCTGGATGTGTGTGCTGTGTTTTCACGTGGGGAGAGCCATGTGGGCCTCTCCTGAGCTGGAAAAGTGATGTGGCAAGCCTCACTCCCTTGTTCTCTTTGGAGGCTACTACATTAAGTGCTTTTTGTTTGTGTGTGTTCTAACTAAGCTGCATGATTAGATTTGGTGAAGAGTTGGATTCTGACTTTTATAGACTTAAAAACATTTGGGTTGTTTCCTCAATAAGGTGACCTTGACATGTTGTCTTACAGTGCATTTAGGGCCAAGCGTGGGATGAGCCTGCTTTTGTGTTTGATTTCTATTCCCCTTGCCCCCATCCATCTTGTCCTTCCCACTAAGGGGTGGGACTTTGCACTCACAGCTCAAAACAACTGTCCCTAAGCTCTCACACTTAGCTGTCAGCCAAGGGAGAGATGCCCAGTGCATAGACAGAGAGGCTCAGAGAGGGGCCCCAAGTGCTTAAATTGGCCTGGGACAGCCAGTGACATGGCCCAGCACGGTCTTCTGTGAGGAGCTCTCCCCAGCTGGCCCATGTGGGATCAGCTTCACCACTCTGAGCTAAAAATTACGGAAAACCAATCTGCTTTATGTTTTCTAGGGGATTTGTTTTCAGGATGTTACATTTTTAGGGGGTCAAACTGGGGTTTGAACTCTAGGCCATGTGCTTATTAGGTGCTCTACCACTTGAATCACAAGCGTTGCCTTCAGCTGTATCTGCTTTTGATTTTGTTTCAGTTTCTGTTTTGTTTTGGGCTGGTCCTGGGGCTTAAGCTCAGGTCCTGGGCTTGTCCTTGAGCTTTTTTTTTTTTTTTTGCCAGTCCTGGAGCTGAAACTCAGGGGCCTGAGCACTATCCCTGAGCTTCTTTTGCTCACTCTACCATTTGAGCCATAGAGCCACTTCCAGCCTTTTCTGTTTATGTTGTGCTGAGGAATTGAACCCAGGGCTTCATGCATGATAGGCAAGCGCTCTACCACTAAGCCACATCCCCAGCCCTCCTTGAGTCAGTCCTCCCCCCCCTCCCCCCAGCCCACCCAGGCTACCACTCTACCACTTGAGTCACAGCTCCACTTCCAGCTTTTTTTTTTTTTTCCCTGGTAATTTAGCAGAGATAAGAGTCTCACAGTCTTTGCTGTCCAGGCTGGCTTCAAACCATGATCCTCAGACTCAGCCTCCTGAGTAGTATTACTGGCACGAGCCACTGGTGCCTTGTATGCTTTAGTTATTTTATTTCATTTTTACAAATGAGGTGGCTTCACAGTCTCTCTCTTTTTTTTTTTTTTTTTTTTTTAGCTTGGGCTATCCTGA